CTCTGCCTGTCAGAGTGTTACCTGGCTCCCCTCGGAGGTGACTGAGCAGGTCAGACCAGCCCTCAGCTCTCGTTTGGTGGCGTGGGGGTGAGGTGGGGGGGGAGTGGCGAGGAAGTGGGCCAATGTCTCCCTGTCCCTCTGTCCTCTCTCTCGGCTGAGAGCTTTGTGTCTGGGTTCGAATCCTCTGCCGCTCAGATACTGAGTGACTTGGGCAGGTCATTGGCCCCTCTCTGGGCCTCACTTTCCTTATCTGTGCAATGGGGCTAACAAATGCTTCCTCACTCCTGCCCACGAGCTACTGGGAGGATTTGATGGGAGCCTGAAAGGGACTTGGTAGCTGCTGGGAGGGGTGGGTCTGGGGGCTCCCAGTAGGGTGGGAAGACACAGAGCCTGGAGCTCCGAGGGCGGCCTGTCTCCCTGCTCCATGGTGTCTCCATCTCCCTTTACCCTACAGATGAGGTCGAAGAAACACAAGGTGAAGATGCTGTGTCAAATCCAGGCAGATAGGACCTCTGCCCCCAAGGCCACCACCAGCCTGTGTGCTGCCCTCTGTCTCCCCAACCCTCCCCTGGGCCCACCATCTGGGCTGTCTCTGCAGGGTGGAGCCATCCAGACCTGGGAGCGGGGAAGCTGCCGGCGTCATCCTCACCCCCCGGGCTGGGGCCAGGCTGGACAGGGAGTGGTCAGTTGTAGCAAGACTCCAGGCCTGGCTCGCCCTGGCCTGGGCCCTCCATCACACCTTGGTGCCCCTCTCGACTCAGGGGGGGCAAGATGAGAGGGGGGACCGAGATCTCTCAGTGCGTACAGAGCCTCCAGGCAGCGGGGGGTGAGATGTGATGGAGGGAGCCCCAGGTTGGGAATCCTGCGTCCTGAGTCCTGGCTTCTAATTTGGGTTCTGCTGTGCGGCTCTGGGCTGTCTCTGGGCACCTCTGCTCCCAATGGACAAGATCACTTCAGAGGTCACTGAAGACTGCGATTCCATGCACCTGCCCAGAATGGGGGACCGGCCTCCCAGGGGCCTCCCATCACCCTGTCCTGCTTCCTGGGGCTCTGGGGCCCCCAGTGGGCTGAGGGGCAGGGAGCTGGTGATGCCTGTTGCCCCTCCTGGACCCCCAAGCTCTACCACAGACCTGCCGATGCCCCGTCCACTGCCTCCGCGTGACAGACAAGCGGCCCCCTTGGAGGAGGGAACCCACCTGGGTCCTCAGCCGGCACCCAGCTCCACCTCTGCCACCCCATGTTCTGGGCGCCCCAGGCTGAGTGGGCTTGGCTGGCCTGGAGTTACAGGTCTCGCCTTTGCGACCCCCCATTCCCATGGAGGGGGCCGCCCGGCATAGCTGCTGTGAGTCCACATCTTGTGTGTGTCTGTCCACACTTTTTAGGCGCCAACGTCAAAGGCCAGCCTTCCCGCCCCAACACCCATCCGGGAAGCCCCCGTGGCTGTGTGTATGTTGGTAACAGTTGTACAAAATAAATTCTATTTATCGCTATTGTACCCCGAGATGGACCTGGCTTTGCGTGAACCCTGCTCAGATCTACCCCAGGTCTGACTGGTACTAAGATAAAGGGGAGGCCTGTCCCCCAACCCTCCCCCCTCCCCCATCAGAGCCGCTGGGTCCAGGGCACCTCCGAGGCCAAGCAAAGGCTCTAACCACCAGCCGTGGCTTCCTCCCCATGGCGCTGCGCTTCCCTCCGCCCTGCCCCCTTCTCCACGGGAGAACGCAGCTTTGAATTGGACCGACCCAGGTTAGTCCTGGCATCATCTACTCGCTGGGCGGCACTGGGAATTTCTAGCTTCTCTGAGCTGCAGGGTCCACTTTTGTTTAAGGGGAGCAACAGTACCTCTCCCAAGAGGACACAGTGGGCGCTCAACGATCAACTTACTTCCCCTCCTCATGCTCCTTGAAGCCCAAGCATTTCCCCTTTGCGGCCACCAGGGGGCGCCCAGGGATCGCTTACTGGGACCCTTGGGGCTGAGTCCCTCCAACTTGGGAGGAGCTCACAGTGCAGGGCCGTCACAGTAAAGGGTGATGAGTGAGGGGTGTGTGAGATCAGGGGGCCGGCCTCAGGGGGCCCAGCCTCGGTGAGGGAGCCGCGGGGAAGACCGGAGCAGTGGTGCCTGAGCCCTGGGGAGGCTTAGGAAAGTGCCCCTGAGGGAGGGAGACAGGGCTTGGAGTGGGAAGGTGGTCAACGGTTCTGATGACGGGATGTAAAGACCGAGGGGACAGGGAGGTGGATGGAGAAGAGCCACACGGGCTTGAATGCCAGACCAAGGAACAGGGCTTGGTGCTGAGGGCAACAGGGAGGCTTGGAGGACTGAAAACGGGAACTGAGGGCTGCTGGCGGAGACGGGCTGAGCATGCCAGGGCAGGGAGGGGAGGATCGAGGAGGCTGCTGGGGACAGAGGGACCCTGGAAGGCATTAGGAGGTGTGAGCATCTGATGAAGGGCCTGCTGGGATGTGGGGCTGAGGGGGAGGTGAGGAGGCTCTCGAGGGTCGGCCTGGGTATTGGGTGAAGGGGGCGGATTTCTGAGATAGGGGCACGGAGGAAGGGCAGGGGGAGTGAGTTGGAGAAGATTGGGCTTGGGGGTAGGCACAGGATTGGGCTCCAGTGGGATCAGATGTGCCCTGGTCTTCCTGACAGCCTTCCAGCCCCTCCTCCCCCACCAGCCCCCACACCCTCCCCAGGACGATGCTGAGTGCACCCCAGGGGCTGCCATGCTTTTCCTGACGGGGACCCCCTCTGACCCTCAGATGTCTGGGGCCACCCAGGGGCTGTGACTCACACCCAACCCACAGTCCCACCCACTGGAGTTTGGCTCTGGGCTGGCCTGGGCTCAGTGGATCCCCCCCCAACCCTAACCCTGCTCAGCCTCACCCCTGCTCTCTAACCTCACACCCCTTCCCAGGTCCTGGCTCTTCAGAACTCTGTCTCAATCCCTCACCTGTTTCCTCCCATCTCACCCCAAAGGGTCAGCAGCCACAGTTCAGCACCAAGGTCAAGAGCTTGGCTCAGGTCATTCTAGCTGTTCCTTTGGGTCTTTGGGCCTCAGTTTCCTCATCTGTACAGTGGGGATGCGAACAGTCCTGACCTTGGTACCCTGACGTGAGGGTTCAGTGAGGTGATACTTCATGAATTTCTTGGTTCAGCCCTGGCCCATGGTGGACTCCAAAAATAGTGTGTGTGGTGGTGATGAGCCATGAAGGAGGACCACATCCTTAACCCACATCAGAGGGCGCAGGGTCACTGCTCAGCGTGGAGGATGGAGTACCTGGGGCCGGCCGGGCACAGACGTCCGACCTGAGGCTTTGGGGCTGGACGATTGTCAGTGCTTCCCTGAGCCTCAGCTTCCTGCTTTTCTGGGGGGTTGGTGATCCTTTTATAAAAGAGCTCGGGCACCCACTTGTATCCTTTACGAGGTGCCCCACCCCATGGCTCTGACCCACAGCTGAGCCAGAGCGCTGGGGTCTGTTGTGCAGACGCAGGGGCAGCGTGGAGAGCAGAGCCTGCCTCTGCCCTGGGTTGTGCCAGTCCCGTCTGCAGCCTCTGGTTCCGCCGGGCCCCCACCCCGCCCACCCCTCCTCTGGGCTCCAAGGTGGGGCTGGGGGAGGCTGAGGACAGGCCTGGCCTCTGGGATCAAAGTGTCCAGGGCTGTTTCTCTTGCACCCGTGCCAGCTCCGTGCTCACCCTGGTTATGAGGTGGGGAGGGCGAGCCAGGACACTGTCCGAGGCTGGAATTAGGCTTGGGCGGGGGGCACCGGGTTCCGGGAAGTGCTGGACTCTGCTTAGAAATAGCTCTGGTGGTGGAAACGGCAGCCAGAGGTTTCTCCTGACGCAGGAGGCAAGAGGCCTCCCGCGGAGGGACCTGGGTGCCTGGCAAACCTGGCACCCCCGTCTCTGCCTTAGAGCTGGAGCCTGTCTCTCCAGGTCTCAGTGCCCTCACCTGTGAAATGGGAGCGAAGCCCTACCTCACACTGTGAGGAGGCTGGCCTGGCCTCTGGAGCACATGGCATAGAACCCACGCCCAACAGGTTCTGGTAGGGGCCTCTCTGTGTCGTCCCTGGACATCCGTGGCCAGCCCCGGGGCCACGTTACCAAAGAGAGGCCACCGGCGCAGGCCCGCCCAGGGGACTGGGACCGGGATGTTCTCTGCTGCTCAGGCCACAGGGGTGCTTAACCAGGGACCCTGGAATGTGGAGGTCCCTCCCTGCACCCGCCCTGCCGAGGGGACAGCCAGGGATGGAGCCTCCTGAAATAACCAGATCTGGTTAGCCAGGCTAATTTTAAAAGCCACTCTGGCTGCCCATGGGCCCTTCCGGGACGCCATGAATGTCCTTGTGTTTGTTCCTGGGAGGCATGGCAAGGGGAGGACGGCAGGGGCTGGGGCGGACGCCCACCCCTGACCGCCAGTCAGGAGACCCCCAGCTGCCTCCCAGGGGCTGCCCAGCCTTGGCCCCAGTCCACGCAGAGCAAACCCTGGTGGGCCCCTGAGGCCCTCGGACACTCACTGTCCCGACTCTCCCCCATCCCAGTCCGCTCACTCTCCGGGGCCCTTTATCTCTGTGCCTCTGCCTCTCGGTCTCTGACGCTCTCAGCCCCTCTCTGCGGCAGCCTCCGTCTCCTCTCTCTGGGCCTGTCATGCAGGAGGCCGGGCAGCATTCCTGACGGGCCGTAGGCTGGATTGTGCACGCCAGGTAGGGGCAGGTGGGGAGCTAGGGCCGCAGGGGGAGGGCGGCGGTGCTGGGGGCCAGCAGGAGCGACGACGGAGCAGGCAGAGGCCGTGTCCAGGCACGGCCTGGGCCATCTGGTCAGGCCAGGTGACAGCAGGAGGAATGAGCTCTGGGGGAGGGTGGCCAGATTTAGCAAGTAGAAACACACGGAGCCCAGTTCAGGTTGAGTTTCAGATAAACAAGGAATAATTTTTAGTTTAAGTATACCTCATGTAATATTTGGGACATACTTAAATAAAAATTATTCCTTGTTTATCTGGACTTCAGGTTTAACTGGCCATCCTGTGTTTGATCTGGCAACGCCGGCCGGGCGGCTCTGGAGGGACGGGGAGGTGTGTCAGGAACGGCAGGTTTGAGAGCTTCGGCCTCAGCCTGGTGGCCATGTCACAGCCATGCCCCCCGGAATCAGTCTGTGGGGGAGGCAGCTCCTGTCCACAGGGAGCTTTCCGTTTTCTGAGGATGGGGACGGTCCCCCGGAGCGTGGACGGCACATGAGACGCCAGTCACCTCGGTGGGACCATAGGCATCAGCAGGGAGGATCCGTGTGTGTGCTCTGCTGAGCCCCAGTGCCTAACCAGGGTCTGGCCCATAATAGAGGCTTCATAAATATTTGTTCAATGAAGAACCTTCCCCACCTGCGGCGGTGAGGGGGCACCTGGCCAGCAGGGGGCCCCAGCACTCTACCTCCCAAGGTCCTTGGAACCCAGGGGCTCCCCAAAGTGAGCTGCAGAGGGGGAGGGGAGGAAGAGAGGAGGCCAGCTTTTCCTCTCCCTCCCCTTCCCTGGACCCAGTGCCAACCCGGAGTTCTGCCTGGGCAAGGGTGCAGGGGTTGGGGACTAGGGCAGGGTGACCTCAGGCTCTGACACAGGGAGGCTGGTTGGGACTAAGGTGGGGGGCAGGCCAAAGACATGCTCTCAGCACTCCTTGGGGGGCACTTGGACAGTATGGGGACCCCCAAGTCTGGCAGGTCCCACTTCCTCTCGGAGCTTCAGCCCTATCCTTCCTCTTGAAGGGAGGTTCGCTCCTTCCAGGTGCCTATAGCTTCTAGGCCAGTGGTTCTCAACCTTCTGGCCCTTTAAATACAGTTCCTCATGTTGTGACCCAACCATAAAATTATTTTCGTTGCTACTTCATAACTGTAATGTTGCTACTGTTATGAATCGTCATGTAAATATCTGATATGCAGGATGGTCTTAGGCGACCCCTGTGAAAGGGTCGTTCGACCGCCAAAGGGGTCGCGACCCACAGGTTGAGAACCGCTGTTCTAGACGCTGTGATAACTCATCCAGGGACAAGCAAGAGGTGGGGAAGAGCGCGGAGGGACCCTCAGGAGGCAGGGCTCGGTCCTGGCCCCCGTCTAACCTGCAGTGTGAGCCGGAGCGCGTCCCCTTCTGCTCGGGCCTCGGTTTCCCCAGATGTACAGCAAGCAGCAGGGCCGGACTTCCTGCCATGCCCTGGTCGGGCCTCTCTGTGTCATCCCGTTAGTAACAGTTTAGCGCTAAGCCTGTAATCACATCTGCCCTGGGAAGAACTAACACAGCGTTTCTTTAAATTGGGCTCTAATTGCGGCTTTTAGTGGAGTCAGATGCGCCCCCTCCCCCAGCTGGTCTGAATCAGCCAGGCTATCCCGGCCTGCCCGCCAGGCCCAGGCATCCCCTGGGGTTGTTCTGGCTCCCACTGATCGGCCAGGGACTGATGTCCTTGAGGACCTACTGTACGCCATGCCCTACACAGGACAGGGGACTCTAGGTCATCTCACCACGG